AAAAAACAAACAAACAAACAAACAAAAAAGAGTCTCACGGACTTTCTTGCCTGTGCTGGCTTTGAACTGCGATCCTCAAATCTCAGCCTCCTGAGTAGCTAGGATTACAGGTGTGAGCCACCGTCATCCAGCAATGACACTCTTGTCTCCAGTAAACTAATCTGCAAAAACTGGAAATGGCCCTGTGGCTCAAGTGGTAGAGTGTTAGCCTTGAACACAGAGGCTGGGGACAGAATGCCCAGGTCCAGAGTCCATGCCCCAGGATTAGCAAAAAGATTAAAAAATAAATAAAAATAAAGCAGGAACTTAGAATGCCTCTAATAAATAACTCAGAAAACAGACCATCCTGGGCTTTCCTAAAAAAAAAAAATACTATAATACTGTTAAGGAGTTTTTTTTTTTCTTTCTTTCTTTCTTTCTTTCTTTTTTAAGGACTAGGATTTTGGAAATAGTGGAATGTCATTTTAATGTGGCAGCATTGCTGATTGGAATAAGTTCCTTAGCTGATTAACCCATTGAGCTCATTAGCCTTTAGGATCTACTGTCAAAATTGCAACAGTTGGTGTTGTGTTTGTTTTTAGTGATTTTAATTGGTGTGCTAATCAGTTAGAGGCTAATTTGGTGATGAAAAACATGGGAGGTGGCAGTATAATTTCTCCTCTTAGTTCCCTAAGATGGACAAGATTTAACTAATTGATGTTTTGGTGTTTGTAATGTGCACTTAAAAGCCAAGCCTTGGGTGAATTTCCCATTAAGAAAGGCAAGAGCTCAATTTTCCCACCTGCATTGCCAAGGTAGTTTCCCTAAGCCTAAACCACTGCAGCATCAAAGCCATCCAGACTCCCAGATAAGTCCTAAGGACAGGGTAGCCTAGTTGTCCCACTTCATGCTGGGGTGTAAGTGTGTATTTAAAGTTCGCCTCATCTAGGCTACTTAGATAGCTCCATGTTAGAGCTATAGTATCTGATTTTGCTTAGTTTGTTGATACATTGGATTTCTTTTATGAGTTCTGTTTGTCTGTGTTATGGTAGAGAAGAGAAAAAAAATTCTGTCAGAGAATTAAAATTGAGTAAACTCATTCATTTAAGAGATATTGATATTTATTGATACTTGATTTAGGAGCTTCTCATGTACTATCATCTGACCATCACAGTATAGCCATCTGAGAACTAAATTCCCTATGAGTTAATCTTGAGTTTGACTAAAAGATTTATCTTCATCTTTGCTGGTTCTCACTGGGAGAGTAGGGGTGGAGTTCATTGTCCTAGCAGTTCATTGTCCCATATACTACTACTTCTGGCAGAGAATTATTTACAAAGTTGCTAAGTTCCAGTTATCATCCAGTTTACAGCTAGATCAATGGCGCCATCTTTTCCTTTTTTCCCTCCTTTTTTCTTTCCTTCTTTTTTTTTTGGTCCGGTCGTGGGGCCTGAACTCTGGGCC